ACTGGCTGATCCTTGTTTAGGGTGAAACTGACCAACCTCATCATCAATGACATTGAAATTTTCATCAAACCTATGCCAACACCGATTGACAAGGTGCCCAATCTTTCCACAGAGTTGGCATTGAACACATGGTCTCCCACGACCACGCCCTTTAGAACGTCCACCATAGTGATATCGATATGCTGGATTATGATTAGCATCAGCAGCATTGTTTACCGATCCATGAGTAACATGCGCACTTGCAATAACATGTTCTTCTTAGGCAGCAAACCCAGCTAGTTGTGTTTTAGCATCAACTAACTGTAACATCCTCAATACCGGGTTAGTGACCAAAGTGTGAAAATTTAAAATTTCAATGACCAAATTAGATAAATTGAGAAATTTAAGGATTTAATTGAAGTATTTGGTGTAGGATGAATTAATAAATGAAAGAGAAGGAAAGGGGCAAAAGGGTCATTAAAAAAAGAAAGAAATAAAATAATGATAGTGGGTATTTTATAAACCCATGTGAATCATAATTTGGGAAATTAAGTTTCCAGATTACTCCTCTCTCTTCTTTATTCATCTTCTTCCCCTCCAACGTGAAACCCAAGCCAAGGCGAGTTGATTTTCTTTTGGTTAATCCTTCAATTTCAAGCATGGTTTTGATTCATGAAGCTTTAGGAAACATGATGGAAGGAAAAAAAGGACTTAGAAACTCAAAGATTTGTAAGTTATGAAGGATTAAAGATAGGAAGTGGATAAGTGAAATTTTGAATAAGAATGTATAAATGGATTACATGGAAATTTTGGTATGATTCTTAGTTTTAAGAATTTGAATGAGATATGAGAGATTCTAAAGTGTTGGAATGATAAAAGTTAGTTAAAATGGTTGTAGTTGAGTTTAGTGGTATGAAAGGAGTTTTATATGAGGAAATTTAATGAAAAGTTATGGAATTTTCGGGTGAAACCAGTTTATTATTGACATGTGCATCGATGCACTATGAATGGGCACCGATGCACTAAGATAAAAATTTGAAGGTGCATCGATGCATTAAGGGTGCATCGATGTATAGGAATTTTAAACCTAATTTGGGGTGCATCAGTACACTCCTAAAGGAAATTAGGAATATGAGTTTATTAAATTCGTTTAAGTTAATAGCATCGAAGTATAAGGTTTAGGCTTCTGATAATCATCTTGAAAATTATATTTATGTAGATACAGAGCCTAAACGAATTCTGGAACAATCAAATGATTATGATTTATTCAAAGCAAGCAAGGCTAAGGTGAGTGTAATTTTAATTGTACTTATATTATTGAACGAACATTTGCTTGCGATGAGCCAGTGATGGAGTTACTATAGTAAGAAGTGACTCCTAAAATGTTATTTGATTTGTGATTCTTATATATGCATGAATACATGAAAATGGGTATAGTATTTTATATGTGACATGATATACATGCTTACATGAATATGCAATATGTATTATATGTTATATGAAATGATATAGATGTTTACACATACATGTGGTATGTGACAGAAGAAAATGTATATGTGATCACAAGAGAAATGACATGAATACATGAGCATATGAAACATAAAAATAAATGCCCATGGTATATGATACTAGAGCGATAGGTATAGTTGGCATGCCAAGAGTCGAGGGTTTATCTATGTCTTTTAGGACATATGAACAGTTTACCTAAGTTCTTCGAGACCTATGGACAGTTGCCGAGGTTCTTTATAACCTCTGGATAGGTCCTTCGGGACATTTATACAAGCTGTGGTGACAACATAGTGGTGCATAACCTCAATGTACTCAAATACCTTAAGTTCTCAGTAATGTACATGAGCTTACAAAAGGTATAAAAAGTGTTTGCATTATTACATGTTATCATGTTATTATTATTTACATGGAACCATATATAACATGATTGAATAAGTAGATAATATGTTTTTATGTATATGAAATGCATTATTATTATTATATGATATGCCTCACTAAGTCTATGACTTAGCGTGTAAGTGATTTACACGTAGGTACTGAAAAGCGAGAGGATCAAAGCTAAGCAACATAACAACATATCTCCACTTGAAGATAAGATCATAAGTAAATTACACAATATGTATTATTATGTGATAAATAGGTTGACATGTAACCAAAGCGGGTAAATTAAGTATTTATGCTATGATCAAGTTTTGTAATGTTTTAAACATATTTATGTAAATGTAAATGTATAGTAATGAACAGTTAATTTTTTACGCGTTTTATGAACGTTTTACGAAAGTCACTGTAGCAGTGCATTGATGCACAATTTTGCTTCGAAATTTAAGTGCATCGGTGCACTGTAGCAATGCATCGATGTACTGTAGCAATGCATCGATGTACTGTAGCACTGTTCATGGTACTGTTCATTATTGTTTTCTTAATAATGAAGCATAATTTAATAGTATATTATTGTATTTTCTTAATATGAGTTCAAATGTTTTGATATTTTATAAGAATATTGTTTTAAAAGTCAATGTAACATCTCGGACTCGTATCCGGGTCGGGTACGGGTTGGGGTGTTACACTAACATAGTATAGATCCTATCTAAGGGAAGAGACTCACCACTGGATGTTATAACAGCCATGAATGGTTGGTAATCTCTTGGGAGCCCTTTAATAATGCTGGCAATGTGTTCTACAGCAGGAACTGGGCTGCCACAAGATGCCAAAGCATCACATACTTCCTTAACCCTATTTAAGAACACCCTCATGCTGTCATCCCCCTTTCTAAGTGACTGCAGCTTGTAGTGTAGATTCATAACTGATGTTGTGGACCGATTCGCAAAAAACTACAAGACTGTACTTCACACAGCGCCAATTGTTTCAGCACCAAGGAACTGAGGCAGCAAGTGACTGCTGATGGTGTACAAGAGCCAGGAAGCCACAACATTGTCCTAAGCAACAAAGTCTTCATACGCCTCGTTAGCAGTCAGCACACCATTATCATCAGCAACCATTGCAGGTGGAGACTGCATTGCACTAGTCAGCAATCTCTCTAAACGATGACTTCTCACAGTAAGAAGGATTTGTTGCTTCCATAGTAGAAAGTTTGTTTCATCAAGAATCACATTCACTCTTTTATTGGTGAACATCTCGATAATTCTTAAAGCAGCCTTCAGTCAACGAAACAACAACTTCAAGCAGAAGCTTTCTCTCAATTACGCAACAACGAATCCTCCTCCAGGATGAATGGTGAATGATACCATGTAAATAAATCTATACTAATGAGAAATGTATTTCTTGTTCATCATTTACAAAGGCACCAGGCCATGTTTATATAGTTTTACAAGATAGCTAACATAACTCATACATTCATGCAAGCAAACGTAACTAACTCTTAACAGCTCTTAACTGCACTTAACACCCTTAATTGCATAACAACCAACATCCTCAACTGTCCTCAACTACATAACAACCTATAGGCTTAATAGGATGAGAGTGAAATTTTAAATTAAATGAATGAATTTATAAAATTTTATAATAGGAGAATGAATTTATAAAATTTTATAATAGGAGAATGAATTTATAAAATTCAACAATTAAAATTATAGTAAAATTTAAAGATAAAAACATATTACTAATAAAAAAATATATAAAAATTTAAACATTTTTAGAAGACATTTACCCTTATCAAACCTTATCATGTATCGAGGGCCTTGGATTTACTTTTCTTATTCCACCGATTTAAGTGTCCTCAACTGTTCATGGGATATTTGGAAAGCTAAGGAATCTTGTAATGTCTTGCCATGCCATTACATTTTATACCACTTTGTCTAGTTGTTTTGCCAAGTTAATTTCATAGAGTTTTGGTTTTGTTCCGTTTTTACTAGGAAAAGAATCTCAAAGTTTCACCACGTGACATAGAGAAAGGTGACAAAAACATGAAATGTGGATGACATGCAACTCCTGTTTTTATAAGGTTCGACACCTGTGTGTGATTTCTCGAGTAAATCTTTGCATTTCTCTAACATCATTTCTCAATCAAAACAAATAAAATAAAGAGTGAGAAGATGATAAAACAAACAGCAAAGGTGGGATTTCAATTTTTTAACTTCTAGAATAGTTTTTTCTTTCTATATTCATCACCATTTCTCACTAATGCTTTGATCACGGACCCTTAACAGGCATAGTTAATGCCATTGATAGAAGGACTACACTGGCCATAAGCTTCCCATCCCTTCTATTCTTGTAAATGGTCCAAATTAACGATGTGACACGTGAATATTTGAGCATCATTGATGACGTTAACGTAAATTTGTTTATAGAGGTATCGTGTTCGATAATGTTAAAAGCTGTAAAAAAATATACTCCTATATTATAACCATAAAAAATTACTGTAATACTAGGAGATCCAATCACCAAATAAATCAGTAGGCTCAATTATGGAGTCATGACCTAGGCCAACAGGTTTATCGTTGGACCAAGACTTGAAGGTCCAATTACCAAATGTTAACAGTTCATGGCTGGAAAAAATAACTCAGCATATGATGGTGGAAGCGATAAAGAAGCGATAAAGAAGCGAATAAATGCCCTACTTTTCCTAATACACTAGCAGGCCAGGAATTAGGTCTTATTCAAATCGAGAAGATATTCGTTTTTATTGGCCATGGGATTCACGCTCCACGATTATCCTGACCTGGCCCTACCCTTTTGCATCTCCAACCCTTGTTTCTTTACAGACTTAACATCAGGGCAAATTTAAGGCCAACCTTTGCCTCCTTAAATGCTAGCAACACAAAAGCAACCAAAGTGTTATGATTACGCTGCAACTATCACAACATATCTTTGTCCAATCTAATGCATTTTCCCCCAACTTGACACAGGTGTTGGAATCGAATATATTTAATAAATCTATCACCTTTTATACACATCTGAATATATATTTAGCTTAATCAATAATAAAAAAGAATATATATTTAGCACAAGATTTCATGGCATGCACTTGAAAAACATAGCATTCCATAAACAGATAATCATAAAATATATAATCTCCCATATCAAGTAAGAAACAGATAGGAAACACCAAAGTTGCATGACAAAGCTGGCGAGAATTTTAGTTGAAGTATAATGGCACACACCAATTCTGTTTTCTTAGCAATATTATATGGCATGAACTTAGTTTATAGATGGAGGCATAGATATTCTAATCGAGCAAGGGATAGGTGGTGAGATCGGATCCTCTACCACTGTGAAGACTAGGATGGTTTGGCAGCAGGCGTAGAGCAGATATACGAGGGCCTCCATTTTGATACCCGATTAAGGTATTGTAATCCCCTCCATTATCAACTAATCCATACGGGTCTTCTTTCAGAGCATCCTTAAATCAACAGCGTTTACTTAACATAAGAAAAAAAACATATAAAACAATGGTTTGGAATCGGTCCTTAATTAAGCCGGAGGTGCTTACTAGTTCATGTAACAGATTCTTGTGTATCTCTTCCACATTCCTCACCTGCAGGCAACAAGATACGTAGTAAAACATAGAGATGAAACAATTTATATATTATCACAAAACTTACGGCATGAAACGTTTAATGATATATAAATATTCAACTTGAAATATTCAAATGTTTACAATTACCTTTTTCCTCGAAGTATCGATCTGATTGGTGAGAATACGATACTGCCATATATTATGAACATAAAAAAATTAGATTATAATGGAAAATGAATTTCATTGAAACTTGATTTTCAATACAAACATTTCTTTCTTGATACAAATAAAGAATATATATATATATATTATGATTAATATAACTTATACACTAAACATGGTTTTTTTTAACTAAACAGATCTATTGATGGTGATCAGTGTTTCTAACCCATATATACATACACATACATATATCTTTCTAGTAGATTAATTTTTTTTATGTACATATAATATTATTTGATATATTGATGATGGAGTTTTTATTGTATATAAAAGTTAAAAATTTACTAGTGATTTTAAGATGTCGCTATTATTTTATTTTTATAAGAAGACATATTAACATGTTAAACTTGTTTTTTTAGTTTTTTTTTCATTGCATATGTACAGAATAATATATATATATATATATATATATATATGTACTGTCATATCAACCAGTAGAATTATTATCAATCTTTCCCAACTATTAATTCACTATGTATTATGCCAAATATTCGATGTTGTAGTGAAATTTTGAATATATAGGTATATAATATCAGCTTTTTAGAAAGAAATGGAAAAAATAATAGTTCGTCTTATCTAAAAACAAAATCTAAGCCTTTTTTAAAGAGAAAGAAGAGTCAAATCTAACTTAGTAAAACCCCAAATAAGGAAGATTAACGGGAAGAAAACCTAGTAGACAAGTTGCTTTATTTTGATATAAAATAGCCAACCTTTCTATCACGAATAAGATTGACAGAGCTATCCATCTCTTGTTCCAAACTTTGAAGATCTTCGATGCTCAAGTCATTCAAACAGTCACCCATCCTCTTCCTACAATTCATTCCATCACATCTAATTAAATAAATAAACTGTGGAATTTCATAAAAAAATCAATACTATTTGTTTATTATTCTTTTTACCTTATCTCGATGCGTAGGTTCCTGTTAACCTCTTTCAGCTGCTTCAACTGCTCTTGCATTTTCTATGCATAAACATCAGGAAAAAATATCACTGTAACGGAGAGCTATTTTATGATGTTTTTAATAAAAAAAATCAACTAAAAATGAAAGGGGGAAACCTCGTAGTGGGTGCTCCATACATCGATCCCCAAGGCTTTCTGGTACTGATCGATTATTTGCTTCGTTCTATATATTGAAAAAATAATAATACGCTTTGTAAGTTTTAGAAAACGAAAATGAAATAAATCTAGGGTTTTAATTAAAAAGAGGAGATTACGTGGTGGAAGGGCTGATAAACTCATGGAGCTTTCCACTGGTGGAGAACATGATGATAGAAACTCTCGCATCGCAAAGAACAGTGAGTTCATTAGCTTTCTTGAAAAGACCGTTTCTTCGCTTCGAATACGTGACTTGCCTGTTGGTCGAGTTCTCTATCAGCTTGATCTGGATCTTCCCTCGAGCCATGCTTGATGATTTTCTCTCTGGTTCTTTTTTTCTGGGAAAGTATAGTGAAAATGAAGGGAAGGGGAAAAAAAGAAGCTAAGCTAAATGAAATGAAGGAGATTGTGGAATCCATTTGCTAAAAATGGGAAGGCAAAGCCTAATAAATGAAAAGGCTTCTCAAGGTTTGTTAAACGCGATAAACTGTAGAGCTTTCCTCTTCTTTGATTTGAACCGAATATCGATGTTTCATGACTCTGGTGAATGGGGACCATCACTTTCCGTCTTTCTCCGTCATTCCCTTTTTAAAACCCTAAACCCTGTCATTAACGGCGGTTAACGGTGCTCCCTTTGAGTGTTCCTTTAAACCAAATCTCGTAGCATTGTTAAAATTGGGAACAAAAATGAAATTTACTTTTTTTTACAAGATAGTGCCCGTTAATTTTATTAAAAATTAAAAGTATCCAAATTGTAATAAAAGTTTATAACATCACAATCGTAAACTAAACATATGATAAATATTTTTTTATAATTATTAACATAAAATATTAATCACTTAATATCACAAAAAGATAAATACAAATAAATCTGATTTGAATAATCACTATACAAAGAAAATGTTAATAAATTAACTAAATAAACTTGAATAAAAGATAAATATGAATAAATCTTACCGGATTAGCAGACAAATCACAAAAAGGGATTAGGCTATTGAAAGACCATCGATAAATTGTAAATCAATTCGAGCAATGTGAGAAAACTATCTACGAATCGCATATCCAAATCGAATCGCATATCCAAATCAAATCCAATGGTTCAAAGAAGAGAAGATCAACATGATAACAAATAAGTATCATCTTGATCAGTCGTGATAATGTCAAATTCAACAATTAAAAAACAAAAACAAATATATGCAAATGACAAAAAATATGCCAAAAGACAGAGAGAAACGTACCATAAAGACATAGTTATTAAAATTTAAAAAAATATGATACAATAAAATAAAAAAGAATGAATATTGATGGTTGACGACTAACACTAAGACTGATATCGCCGTTGATCATAAAAGATGAAGAAAAACAGAGACTAATAGTAACACAAGGAAAAAAAGAAAAGAAAACTAGGACTAAAAGCTATAAATATTCAAAATAAATTGAGTATAAAAATGAAAATTACTTAATTTGATAGGTGAAGCCTTCGAACCAAAGGACAACCAAATTTTGTTTTTACTTAGTTTGATAACTTTAGATACTTTAGCATTGATTGCATTTTTGATTTAATTAGTATCCATACTTAAAAGTAATTGACAATTTAAAATAGATTAAATGTATAATATATTTGATTTAAGAATTAAGAAAAAATTAAATAACTTAAATACGATCCAAAAAAAAAAAACAGTTAACATTTGAGCATTCATAAACTTAATGGTAGAGAAGCATTGTGGCTTGAATATATTAGTTGAAACCATTCATTCTCAGTTAAATGAGTAGGTAGGGTGCACAGCTAATGGATATTCGATTATTAGCTCAACCTCCGACTCCACGTATATAAATTATAAATCTTCCAACAGTGCTCATATTTGCAGTCTTGCAAATAAAGTATTCTCAGAAGATATTGAATTTGAAATTTAAACCGAAACATTTTTAATATGATTTTGTACAATGATGTAAGACTTGCAGAATTTGTTCCTTCTTTTCCTTTTTGGTCCCTATACTTGCTGGATTTGCTAATTGGAAAAGAAACTATATAACTTAATATAACACAAATAATATCTATCCATATAATTGGGATAAGGTATGTGTTTTACATTTTTTTTAATATAGCTATCAGTGTTGGGGAGATTCCTAAATTAATGGGAACAGATAATAGAGTGGTGATGGTTAAAGCCGCGGAAATATCCAAAGGATTTGCCCATGTTTGGGCCTACCTGAGCTAGGCTCGTTGGTAGGCTGGGCGTGAGGGACTGATTCGGCCTAGGTAGCATATTTTTGAAGAAATTAACGTTGTTAAGGTCTCGAGGATATGTCATTTCAAACCCTTCTCTACACGTCTAATCTAATTTCTTTATTGGTTGGTCATCTAACTTGGCCACCCTTTTTATAGAGTTTTTACCCCCCAAAAAAAATCCAACTATTAAATAATTATCTGTCAGACATTTATCGTCTTAATTTTATCAATTTAACACCTTTTATGATAGCATGACAAAAAGATGCAGATCACCATCCGTGCCTTCTTAAAGTTCTAACACGCGACGAATGTGCAGATTACTATTTGTGCCTTCCAAAATTACCTACAACTATCCGCCTTAATTACCTTGTCCCCCTCCCCTATAAATACCCCCTCATATAACCCTCAAATCACACCAAAACGAAAATAGTCTCTTCTTATCACTTATTCTAACAAAGCTCAAGTAGGTTCTGTTATTATTCTAAGAAGTTAAAATTATTATTATTATTATTATATTATAATCATTTAATAGTTAATTATTTTATTGTATTTTACTGCCTAATTTTTTTTTATGTTTTGCAGTTATAAAATAGAAGATAGATTGCTGCGTTTCGATGAGAATCATATCGAGAGTTATTTTGTTGATACGATAACAATTTATTTAATTTGTATTAGTTTTATTATTGTGGTATGTTAATTATTGTGAATATTTTATTTTGTTAGTATTAGTTTATATTTTAATTTGTATACTATTTATTTAATAGAGGAATGACCGTATATTAGACCTTATTTATTCGTAATGCTAAGTTAGAGTTACTAAGTCGTGTCTGGCCGTATTTAGTGGAGGATGGATTAGATTACATAGCTAGATATGAAGGTCATTGTAACCTTGAAAGTGATAACTCCGTAAAAAGACTTAATTTCTAGTCTTTTCACTTAAGTTATTGCTCGTCTAAACAAAGTATGCATAGCATTTTAATTGCATATAGGTTACATTAGCTTGTGGTTGATAAATTTTGCTTAGGCAAGATTTATTTGGTTTGACTGATGCTGCTGAGGAGAAAGGGTTGTTTGGATTGTGTTTGTACAAGAAACTTACAGGGGAAGAACATTTCAATCATGACAACGTAAATTTGCAAAGGTCAACGGAACAGATGAGAATGTGAGGAGCATATTTATCTCACCGAGGCAAGGTTTATCTGAGGAAGTCTGAAGCAGGTGTGACGAAACCACCTATGTCACAAGCCAGCTGGATGACCTACTTCACGTGCAAGCAAGCCTTAATTATGCTGACAGCCGCCTTTCCTTTTTAAGTCTGGACATTTATTTGACAATGGTTATTTAAGGAAACCCCAAAAAGCATGCAAAGCCCTAGGAGATTTTTCCTTATAAATAACCAGTCGTAGCCGCCAAAGAAAGGAGACAAGGAAGAAGAGAGAAGAACTTTACCCAAGGCGTGAGCAAGTAACTGCAGTGTTTCTTCACCGTCTACCACTGACCTTCCTAGGTGTCCTCCATAACCAGACGTTAGCAGAGCGTTGATCAGGTCTTGAGAGAGGGTGATCACCAAGGCAGGCGTAGTGCTGATCATAATCGTCGTGACAAAGGCTCTGATTTTGGGAGTCGTTCTTCCTTTGTTTTTAACTCTTTATCTATTTGGGGTTGTACTAAACGTTGAATTTTGGATGATATTTGCTACCACCAAGAATGTCTTACTTGGTGTTAAACTTTGTCTACCTTAGAAATAAGGAGCGGTTTCAATCGACTAAAAGGGATAGACGCTAGAGTAGGATAGACAATGCCTATAGTTTACGCTGAGAGGTATTGCTACAACAACGGATTGTAGTTAACACTGAGGAGTATTGCCATAGTAACTGTCTAAGAATACCTAGTAATCTTGTCGGGCAGCTTGAGCGAGTCATAATAATTCATTCTAGACTTAGAAATAATTGTTGACAATGCAAGGGTTTAACATCAGTGCTCTGTGATATGTCTGACTATATGAGGTTGTTTGCATTTAATTAAAATCAACACTTATTTTGTTTTATTTACTTTAGCATTCTGCATATTTATTTTGTCTCGACCAAACTTTCCTGCACTCATTAAATCACCTATTTGTTTTATTAATATTAGTTCTTAAGTTGACAACTTACTAGGACTTAGTTTGTGACATTAGTTCTAGTTGTGGTGAAAATATATTTCTCGACCAATCCCTGTGGAGACGATACTCACTTACCCTATATTACTTGAATCTATTGTGTATACTTGCACAAATTTGCTTGTCTTAACATATAAATTTACAAGCGATCAAGTTTTTGGCGCCAAGAGCAATACGAGATCATTTGAACCCGATTCTCGACGATCTCAATCCAGGCATAGTGGCACCTGAGATACAAGCCACTCATTTCGAACTCAAATCGGTGATGTTTAACATGCTAAACTCTATCGGACAATTTGATGGTTCACCCAATGAGGATGCTAGATATCATGTTCGTGCTTTCCTTGAAGTATGTGACTCGTTTCGGCAACAAGGAGTACATGAAGACGTGCTCAAACTGAAACTTTTCCCTTATTTCCTACGCGATAGAGCAAGAGCATGGCTCAACGGAGTTTCTTCCAACTCAATGGAGTCATGGGCAGATTTATGCAAGAGTTTCCTACTACGATACAATCTGCCCAATATGAATACACAACTTCGCAATGACATTTCTAGTTTTCGCCAAGGAGATAATGAATCAATTTACGAATATTGGGATAGGTGCAAAAGCCTACTTCGTAAATGTGTTAACCATGGCTTTCACGATTGGACACAAGTGGTAATGTTTTACAATGGAGTCAATGCACCAACTCGAATGATGTTAAATGCCTCAACAAATGGCACCTTACTAGACAAATCACCCGAGAAAGCTTTTGACATCCTCGACAGGATAGAAAATAATGATTATCAATTTCCAAATACAAGATTGGGAACCGGCAGAAAATAATCTAGAACATATGAATTAAAGGGTAAGGATTCGATAGCCGCTCAACTTTCTGCCATAACCAACATGTTGAAAAATTTACAACGTCCTAATGATGTAAGAGAAGTCAAGGTGACCAATAACGCATGCTTATTTTGTCACGACAATCATCATGAGAATGAATGCCCAGAAAACCATGAGTCAGTCAATTTCGTGGGTAATTACA